GCTTCTTATTTCCTACCCAAGAGATCATCTTGCAACCTCTTGGATTTATCTTGCAACCCCTGGTGGGGGTCCCAGTATTTTCATTAAGGTAGTGACACCACCTGTTTGAAGTTATTCTACAGTGAAGTTCACCTGGTACTTGATTCCTGACTTGAAGTAACCCAGGAGGGTGTTGGATTCGCAATTCTGCACCTCCCTGTACTGCACCGGCCCACCACCCAGGAAGTCATCCAGCTGTGTGGCAAAAATGGCCGCCGCCCCACTCTCATCCTGGGAACACTCGTCCCCTGCAGGAAACAGACACACAGAGTCAAACTGTCTTTTTTCACAGTTATTTTCATAAATACATCACATCAATGCACAAGGATCAGGTTTCTCACAAAAGCTCAAAGTTATTTTACATTAGCAGAGCAAACTGCAGCTCTTTAGTTTCAGCAGTGACCTTATGGGACCTCTGAGTCAGGACTGGAGGCTTTGAATCACATAAACCACATCTGCAGCAGAGGCGTTTTGTATCCTGCCATTACCGTCAGATGGCACACAACATGGATAAAACGATTCTATAATTCTACATGACTAACATTGATCCCAGACAGAGGGATTAATTATATTCTTATGTTATTTCTACTTAAACTCAAAGATGGTTGCAATGGCAGCAGAGAACTAAAGGGACTGTGTCTGTGTGCTGGCACTGGAGGAGAACTGGCAGGGAGAACTACAAACATGCAGGGACTGGTGCCTGACTCTTGTGGCCTGCAAGGGTAATCCAGATGTGAATCATGCAGTGGTTTCTTTTTTGTTATGTAACTGAAAATTTACAGAGCCAGAGAAGACTTTCCCTTCAATTTTGGAGTAGCTAAAGTTGTATGTCATTGTTCGCTCTGTACTGGCCTGAAGTGAGCCTACAATGAGAGCAGAGAGAGAGAACTGCGTGGTGGAGAGGAATTTCACAACCTGGTCTCAAATTTAGAAGAAAGAAAGAAACATTCAGCGACTCATACGGCCGAGGATGTTTCAGCACTGAAATCAGATACCTAATTTGATCTATACGCCGTTGAAAACCTCAGCTACAGTGAAAAGGAAGTTTTAACTGCTTTGTTAGACAGAATACCTAAAAAGTTTCAGTGCCTTTGTTTGGGTGGTTTTATCAGTGGAAGTATCACAATGCATTGATGTTTAACCTTGTATCATGTATGTGCATGCATGGTATGTATATAGGCTTTGAGGGAACTGACTTTGGTTTGTAACTGACTACAATAAGGAACAACTGTATGTTTTCACACTTTAAGATCCAATACTTTATTGCCATTTAAACAATAGGAATTTTCTTTGGTGAGCTCACATAATACAAAGCAGAATCCTCAGGACATCACATAACCACAAAGAGACAAGTGGTGAAACTGGCCATTAAATGGCAATTGTTAAACAATAAAACCTTGCATAAAATAACAAAAATGGACAAAAACGAGAAATAGCATTTAGGGAACATGCTGCAGTAAAATGGTTTCTGATATCAAGTGTGCTGTTGGTTATTTCTCACAAATGCAATGTGAGGCTGTTCCTGTTTTGAAAACAGCCTGATAACAGACTTCATAAAGCAAGATAAACAGGAAGCCTTAAATTAGCATCATGTACTTCAGAAATATCGTTCTGAAATAGTTTCAATTTGAAGTAGCTAAAAAAAATTGGGTAATTAACATGTTGCCCCACACAGAGGTGCACAATGTGAGTCCATGTCTTACCCAACCACATATGTATGTTGTATGAGGGGGCTGAGGTGGTGAACAGCAGCAGGTAGGCGTCCCCGGTGTAGAAGCTGCCATGCAGGGCCTTAGGAACCGGCTTCAGGTCCATGTTCTCGATACGCCACACCTGCAACCCAGGCTGCTTTCCTGCACCCACAAACTCCTTATGGGAAACCATGATGGCTCTGAGCGAAAGACAGAGATGAGAGACAATAAGATGAAGAAAGAGAGGAAGGTAGAGAAAGAGTGATTTCAATATTTTTGCCTTGCAAAACTTGGAATCTTGTAAATCCCAACCCACACAGCAAACAATGCAAACACTAAACCAACATATTACATACACAACATACAGCTGAGAGGTGTTATAACCCACAGTGGATATAAATACATGTGTAATCTTTACACAAGGCCTCTTTACCCTATTAGGCCTTTCAGTGTATAGACCTAACCAGAACAACTAGTTCTTCAACCTGTAATTAGTCTCCTATGGCTGCTGCTGTCACATCTGTAAATTACCTTTTGTGCATTAATTGTTGGATGATTTTCTTACATTAATTGTATCTGACAATTACTGTTTGTCACTCAAGTTTTCACATGATGCTCTTTCATGGGCAGGGACATTTCTCCTACTTAATGAGCCATTGTCAAAAACAATGCTAGAGATACATGGTTCCAGGTTGCTTTGAGCCTTGTTCACGTCAAAGTCCAGAATAAATGGTCACACATGTCAGAGAGAGAATAAGCTTTTCATAACATCTTTATTTCTGAAAATAAAGCTTATAAAACCAATAAATTATCTGAAATAAATTGTGTTTTTAACTAAAACCAGACTGATACAAGAACTTTGAACCATTATCAGTAGATATATAATCAGTGAATAATAAGCCAACAGAGAGATAACCACTGTACACACAGTGAGACGTGCATGACCTAGTTTTTTAACTCACATATTTTGTTGTTTTTTGTTTTAATAGCTGATATCTAGTGAAAGCAAAACTTAATGTTATTCTATTACAACTGCCTCAATAAATTAATTTATGAACTAACTAAGCCGCAGTTACACTCTTCAGTATCTCTGAACCTGGAGTTCAGAGATAAAGGAAGTGAGAATAAAAAATAAAAAAACTTCACAGTAAGAGTGAGCCTTTGCACCACTGAAGTTGGCAGATTATGGAGATTTACAGTTGCCCCCGATTACACAAGAACCAGATTACAAGTCGGTGTGGCAGCAGGATTATTGCTGCAGCGAGGCTGACGTCAACTTTAATGACCAAAGATATGGCAATGTCCACTTTCTCACTTCTGCTTACACTCAGTGCAGGTTTTGGATCAAAGCCTGCACTGTAACTACATCTGCTCACGGTGCACAGTAAGATATTAAAAGATTACACTGTACTGTTTGATTAAAAACAATGAGAGCCATACCAACCACACACAAAGCAAACAATCACACATCATCACCACCACCTGCAGTCATATTGGTATTATTGTGGAGTTTGTTCAGCTGTGTGTTAGCTGAGTGGCATGCAGCTCAGGTTACAGCGCAGAGAGAGAAAAAAAAACACCAATGGACTTCCTGTAACTGGCTGATCAATAAATGCTGCATCATGGACAGTTTTCAGATCACTTAAGAATTATGGGCTGGAGCCAGATGCACTGTTACTAACACTGGTGTGACACAATACTGCAGGTCTGCAGGGATAAATGCAGAGAGGTCTGCTGGGAAGAGCATCTCTAATGAGTGACTTCATCTAATCTGTTGCCTCCACCATCTTCTGCTGACTGGTCAGACTAGAGGCTGATGGGATGTTCCTCTTATTTATTTAACTGGGAAGTGCATTTGCAAAGAAATCATAGAAAATAAAGCCATGAAGCCTTCGTGTCGATTTAATATTATGAATACTAATATTTACTCTATCTCTCTCTTTTCTCTCTTTTTCTTTTTTTTTTTTTTTGAGTATTACATAACATCCAAGCTACTACTTCCTGCACTTCTATCGCAGGTTTTTGCGTTTCATTTCATTCACAAGATAACAATAGACATCAACAGAGTATCTCCTCCATAATAAACAATGCAATTACAGCCTGTGGTACCAAAATAAATCGAAACCTCTCCGTTCCCTCTGTTTTCGGTTCTTTCACTAGCTGCTGTGACTCATGGCAGAGAAATGAACGGAGACTTTCCACATCTGGAAATCAAATCGCCTTAGACTTTACAACCGTGGGCTCAACTGTCCCCATACGAGCACACAAACACAAAAACACAGCGATCATTAAATCTGTTAACGAGAAACCATCTGCGCAACCTTCATCTGAGCAATCCTGCACGGTTTAAAAGAAAGAGATTTATCAAAGTCCGACTTTTCGGACTTTGACAAAAAGGGCGCATGCATGTGGACTGGAAGAAGTAAACTCACAGTTTGCAAGATGAATCACACAGGAGAGAGGAACAGAAGCGCTGATGGAGGCTGTAGATGAGGGAGTGAGCTGCGAGAGGAGCGTCTTTATGTTTTAATGTGTAGTAGAGGAGGAGGAGGAGGAGGAGGAGGAAGAGGGAGTGTTCATGCTGTTCATGGGTCTGGCTGCAGAAGGGAGTGAGTACTGATTGGTCGACAGTAGCAGCAAAAATAAAGATGCTTCTGACTGTTTGTAAGAGGATTTCCTCAAAAATGAGTTTGAACTGTGGTTGGGCTCATTCAAGAACACTTGTTAAAGAGTTCCCTTTCAGTGTTGTGTGACTCCTTCTTATTCGTTCAGGGGCAAAGTTCATGCAGCCCACAATGTCTTCTCGAAGCAGCAGTTGAATCATGATTGCATTTGTTTGTCCTTTGCTGCAAGGAATCGTGTGACTGAAAGTAATAACAGCAAGGAAGAGGTAACTCCCTTTACTTTCCTGGAAAAGAGGGCCAACAGGATTTGATAAAAAATCTTGGAAACGGTGGCACAAGAGAGCTGATTGGAGTAGCCGAGGTTTGATTTTGAAACCTTCTCCAGCTTCACAAACCTCCCCTGCAGACAGTAGACACCTCACATCCCACTAAAAAGGATGCAAAATATTGACTTCAATGACTACTGTCTCATTACACACTCACCAAACACATCATTTACTACAGCTCTGTCCTTTGCTACCACTTTATACACAACCTGCTGCGCCGCAAATCCCAGTTCAAACCTTAAGGCATGCCCACACAGGTCCCACCCAGCCTCTACCTGCTGTACCGTACTGTTTCTCTCTCTGCAGACATTGTGCTTATTTACACGTAGTCAGGTTCTTCCCCTCGGGGGGCGATGAGCGACATGGCTGTTTATACATAAATGTTACACACGTAAAGGATGACAATGTGTGTACAACCTGCAGAAGCAAAACCCAGGCAGGAGCTTCAACGTGAAGCCACTGCTTAAGGCTACAGGTGGTCATTACATGTGAGAGGCCCTCCTGGTTTTGCTGTCGGTGGATTTTCTAAATACATAGCGTGTGTTATGTTCACAACTTCCCATTACGCTTCCCTTGAATTCAGAATGCTTTGTGGAGAATTCGGCCCATTGACAATGAGTAGCTCTTCCTGTGTGCCTGACTCCAACATCCTTAGCTGCCCACTTCTGCTTTAATCTGATTCTAATCTGCATGAAGGTGCAGCACATGGGAAAAGAACAATTTGAGGATTCTCATTAAAGCTTCTGTATATTTTGCAGTTTAAAGGGAAGTGGGTTTGGATGATTAACCTTTCTGAATCATTGCATCATGACCATTTTTGCGAAACAGCTAAAGTTATAATTGACTGTTTTGTCCATAATAACAGCAGAACACACTGGAGCAGTTTATAGACATGAGTGTGAAAGTCCCACTGTTTGTAATTGATTAGATAGAGATGACTCCCAACAGCTGGTCAGCAAGTGAATCCACATGCCAACCACAAACATGTGACATTTGCCTGTTTGTGTTGATGTGTGTGCGTGCCGCAGTAACCCAAATAGTCAAATAAAATTTGACTGAGCGATCTGAATGGTTCATTGTTGACTTGTCAGAATTGGCAGTTCACGTTCCTCCTTTCATTTTTGCTTGTGAGTACGTTTATTTTTTTTTATAAAAACAGACATATTAGATTCACCCTGAACTCAGCTGTTTATCTGCGGACAGCGGGACAACACTGGTGCCAGACTGGGGGTCGGGTGAGTCATCGAACAGGATGTGGCATGTAGGCCGAATAGCTGGAGCCCCATTGTCCCACACACTGACAGCTGACTGATGCACATCCTCAGTGACAATACAGACAACCCAAAATGGATTAGATGCTTATAATCAGAGGCTACACCGTGAGAAGTGATGCTAGAAGCAGAAACGTTCAACCACTTTTCCAGTGAATTATCAGGATGTCAGGTAAAACGTAAATGAGCAAACAACATGGTGTGTCTTTCTGTCACATCTCAGTGTTTGTATGCCTAACAAACTTAAAGGAGTGGTTCAACATCTTTGGACATACATTAACTTCGTCCCAACAGTTAGATGAGACGATTGATACCACTCTCTGATCCACCAGTGGCTGGAACCAGCAGCAAGTTAGCTTATAGCTTAGCATAGAGACTGGACATGGGGGGAAACAGCTAGCCTGTCCAAACCTCATGTGAGGGAAAGTCTCCAAGAAGTTACTGCACTCAGCTGTGAAATCCCAGTAAAAACATTTTTGATTAAACAAATGAAATATGTTAATGAGTGAGCTTTGGAGGTGCAGGTAGGTGGATTTAGTTACTTTTAGATCGAGCCAGGCTGTTTCCCCCTGCTTACAGTATCTGTGTTAAGCTCAGCTAAGCTAGTTACTGGAATACTATTACTGAAATGTATTAGTAATTAGTTACACTACTAGTTACTGGGTAAAATAATATTGTTACTGCCCAACACTGCTCCTCATCACATCCAGTTCTTCAGCACCCCCTTCAAATATGATGATGTCAGGATGGGGTCTAATCGCCGAAGACTTCAAAGCCTCATCTTTATCGTGCACATGTGAATTAAATATATTTTTAAAATGAAGACTCTTCTGATTTATATAAATTACAGGGCGCTTTACACAGACTTTGCACACACTGTATATCTTTTGTGGGTGTGTATGTCTATAGGTGTGGTATACACTAATTTTATTTATTGTATTTATATTTTATTTTATTCTAAATAGTTTCTCTGTGTGTAGCATGAAGGGGCTACAAATACTACTTAAAAGTTAGTTATTAGCTTTCTGTTAGACTTAGATTACTGACTGACTGACTTACTACTTACTTTTTTGGAAACTCAAATGTCAAAACACTAAAATATCTGGTCAGATTTGTTATTCCTTTAGTTCTTTAAAAATTATAAATATAAAAAATAGATTTAAAGTTAAAATCTATATTTATTTAAAGTTGTTGTTTTTAGACTAAACTTTACATTTGAGATTTCTTTTTAATTGTGTTAAATTAAAAACAATTTCTCAAACTCAGGTATCACATTATTGACATTATTAAAACATTTAAACAATAAGCAGCCACAGCCAGCCGCTGTCAGACAGAAATGTGACTCCGGCAGTTTGTGCACAATCACTCGCTATCTTGTCGCTTTTTAGAGAACTTTCCACAGTGAAAACGTGGTAAACTGGTTTGGACTTGGAAGGTCAACAGTGTCACAGATGACACTTAGCAGGAACTGTGGGGATCAATAACCACTGATCACAAGTGTTAGTCAATCCAAACCGGCTACAGACACAGAGGCAAATGTCTCAAACCTTGGGTTGTCATAAAAACAGTAACTAGGATACACACTCCCACCATTTCTGTATAAAGGCTCAGTTTAACGAGGGAAAGGTCAAAACCAGTGAGCTGCAGCTTGGTGATTGTGGAGAGCTGTGGGAGGAGATAGCAATGACCTTTCATCAATGTCAACCATTAATGGCTGTTTTGTCAATCTGCACAGCCCCTCCCAGTAAAACAACACTGGCCCAACTCCATGAAAACTCCACTGAAAGAGTTTGACCAATTTGTGCTTGGGCTACTGCAGATCTCTGCACCTCCTCTCGAGGAAGAGTTGGCCTCCGGATTGTACAGCATCATGAATTTTTCATCTTATGTTATGACTGCCTGTAAAATGGAGAAGCTGTCCATAAGTAGCTGTGACCTGAGCTGACTTAACACTGGTGCTGCATGTTTCTACTGCACTGTGGAAAGACAAGCACAGACTAGATTCTTTTCCCCGGAGCTCCTGTCAGAATTGTCATTAGGGCTCGTAGGTGTGTGGGCGGTATGAAAAGGATTGCACAGCTCCTTGATGACTGGTATAGAAAGGCATTTGTCACTTGAAATGCTCTGAAGGAAGCTGTCAAGGGCATGAGTGCAGATAACCTATTGTCCACCAGTCTGACCCCCACGAGAAAGACATCTGAGGCAGTTAAATATTACTTTAAAACCAAAGAAATTACATTTTGTGAATTACTAAAGTAGATGGAGCTTAATGACTTTAGATGGTGATAACTAAGGTCCAGAAAAAGGGAATCAAACCCTTGAACCTGATGTTAATCTGCCCTGTTGCATTACCTCAGCAAAGCTGCACAACCCACTGAGCCAACATCCTGATGTTACAATGAGCAAACAAGGATCTTGTTGGTTTCATCAGAGTATTATCACTTTATTGTATAGTATATTACCCCTGTGGTATACGTGATGAATGCTGCTCGCTATGGCACCGCCAGCTGCGGTTAACTCGTGTGCCAGGCAACCTGCCTGAGTGAACCCCCCCCACAGCTCAAGTGTGTGTGTGCACCAGTGTGGTTATCATCTACATGAAACAACCTGGGCACACAGTCTAGATTCTAGTATTGCAACTGTTCTGAGTGGTTTGTGCAAACTGTGCAAATAACTTCTACATTCATCATGAAACTGGTAGTTCTTCCAAATCAACCAGCAGTCGGTTTACTTTAGTGTTGAAGGATCCTTTACTTAAGACAAAGTAACATCAGAATTTAAAATATTACAAATACAACTATTACAAGTACAGACTTTACTTAAATGAATAGTTAGTAGGGAAATGCATTTATTCACTTTCTGGTGGAACGTTAAATCAGAAGCTCCAGTTGATTATCTTTGCTTCTCACAAAGACTGAAAACAGCTAGCCTGCCAGCACAGCTCCCTGATCAATAAATTATATCTCGTATATTTAATCTATAAAAAAAGAGTGTACAAACAAAAAGCTGTTTTATGGGGGTTTGTGTGTTTTTCTATTTCTTTGCCTGGAGCAGTGACTTACTGGTGTCTGAGTTGTAAAAGAGGGGGGGTGCCATTTCCCAAAATGTTGAGCTATTGCTTTAAAGCAGCTGTAATCCATAATAATAATGTATCAAATGACAAAGCGAAAACAGTGGGACAATGTGAAAGGGGGTCGCTCGTAGTGATGAACGAACAGAGAATTAACAGCAGAATCTGCAGCTCCCCTCGGCTTTATAGTGAGTTTCAGCTCACTGTTTATTTGCCTGTTTTGGTTCACTCTCAGTGTTGTGTTTGGCCGAGTCAGGCAGCAGCTTTCAGTGAAAA